GTCTTTCTCTCATCGCACACTACGGAGAAACGTCCCCGAGCGTCCCCGTAGGTTGAGCCGACCTGTAAGAAATTGTCCTCATGGCAGCACCACACACCTCCACTGAGGGGTCTCCCGCCACACTTATAACGTGCCTCAGAATAACCGCAGACGTCTGGTCCGAGAGCTACCGATCCAACCCACACAAATAGTTCAATAGAGAAAAAACCAAAATGATTGCCTAAGTAGTCAGTGAGGTGAGCGCCACAATGTCTGCGACGGCCTAGAATACGGTGGTTCGAGTCCCACTCCTGCCGGAAATGTCCGAGCGAACCACCAGTGGACGAAAATTGTAAAAAATTCGAGAACGTCTTTGCCAAGCGCAACCGTGGATCGGACACATGGCTTCAAGATCTTCAGTCTTGCGTTCGCCCAATTCATTTCAGTCGGGTCCAAGATTCGCGATATTGCGGTCGCGGTTTCGAGCTCTGCCAGCGTTTTGTCTTCCGGTCTCACTATGTTTGTTTCGGCCCCCCTGGTTCACCTCTCGAGGCGCACAGGTGCAACAAGTGAGCGTGAATCCTTGACCAACAGGCCTCACAAAAGTTGCATTATCCGTGTCTGTGGTCTAGAGACGGAATGCTTCGTTGTCATTGAGGCGACTCGGCTCCGATTCCCAGCAGACGCACACTATGAAGACTTTCGGTTGCACCAAACAGATAGAATAGGACAGCCGATACGATTCTCTCCGCAGATTGGCGGGTGGGGTTCAAGGAGCGAATGAGCGAGTGGCCGAGAAATCTTACGACGCAATTCGTCGTCATATCATCACCTTATACGGCCCTTCGCACCCACTATCATTCTACCGGAGGGCGCTCCATAACATCAGGGGAGCGACACGTGACGAAGTGACACGTTTACTGATGGACGCGAAGGTGCTACATAAGAGGGCGGGTCGCGAAGGACGCAGGGGAGAAGAACAGCCCGACGAGGACCTGCTCTGCAACTTCGCCGACGCGTTAACCGGAGGAGGTAGCGCACAAACTGAGTGAGTTCGTGCGCAAAGAGCCACGTTGTGGCCACGCACATCGGGGTGGCAGGAATAGGAAGTTGCCGCACCAAGCGTAACCCAACAGCCAAGTCCCAGAGACACGTGCTACTTTGGTGGCTGCAAGAACGGACTGCAAGAATATTGCCGCAACCGT